GGAGGTTCCAGAGGGTGCAGCTGATGAGGAGGTCCAGTCCGAGGACGTGGATGACACTGCTGCCGCCCGCCCCACCACCTTCGAGTACGGGGGTGGCAGTTCCAGCTTCCCCAGCCAGGACTACTTCACCTCCCAGTTCGAGCAGCTGCGTCTCCAGAACCAGCAGATCCTCGACCATCAGATGCAGTTCCAGCAGCAGTACACGGCTCACCAGGCCGATTACCACAAGAGGATGGCTGTTTACGATGAGAGATTGGACCAGCTCCAGACCCAGCAGGGAGTGACTCTCGCACACATTGAGCGGGAGAGGCGCCGCTCTCGGCGCATGCAGGAGGTACAGGGGCATCTGCTCCAGCTGCTACCGGGCGAGCAGCCAGTCTGGAGGACTCCCTGGGAGGACTCCCCACTTCCACCTCCCCCCGCTGATGGTGATGATGGTGGTGATGGTGATGACGCGTTCATGGACGACATCGACCTGGATAACCTCGGCGACGAGTAGGCTGTACTCGTTGCCCATCTCAGTGTGTTTTGTTTTTCGTTTTAGACTTTTGTGTGTTTGCTCCATGTGTGAGGAGCTTGAACTTAGTGTCGTTTGTTTTTGTTTTTGTTTTTTTTTTTCTTTTGTGGATTGTTTTTGCTGTAGCCGTCTGGGCTAACACTTATCCCTAACACACCGTGTGCTAGTGTGTTCTTGGTGTTCGATTCGTGCAGAACTGTCCATCTTCCCGTTTGTTTCTCGCTGACTGGTCCCCTTCCAGTCCCCAGTAGTTTCAATCCGGTAACATCGTTCCCCTTATCTCTCCCTCTACTCCATTGAGGGCAATGTCGTGCTTAAGTGTGGGAGGGTGCTTTGTATCGGTTGGATTGTATATATGTGTGCTTGGAGCCTAGTCCACTGTCCAAATCTCAAGATTTGAGGGCTCCAAGTACTGCTGTTTGATCATATTGGCACTGTGTTTTGATTGATGAATTGAATGGTTTTCGGATTGATGCATGACAGCTTGATTGTGACTAGGACAACCTATGATGAGGACTGAGACGTGCAGTAGAATGGTGTAGGGGTTCAGTTTTTCAACTGTTTGCTTACCAACTGTGACTTGGATTGATTACTTGTTCTTGACAGTCGTTTAGGCATCTAGTTCAGGGTATCAGAATGTGAGATAGAGCATATAGGTAGCCATGTGAGATTTGAGCCTGCTCGTTTCTTTCTTGTGCGATAGATCCCTCTTCCATGATGTGTAGCATTCACGTTGTCACTAGCTAAGATGATGGGGGCATAGGATTAGCCCACGACCACATTTGACTGTCCTGATGTGTCATATCCCCTAGTCAGCCCTTTTGAGCCGTGTGTTATCCTTTCTTTTGGTCTGAAATGAAAAAAAATCACCCTTTTGCATCTTTTAGAAGGTTCCATAGAGTGGTTTTTACATATTCTCTGCTGTTCTGCTAAATTTGATGTGAGTGTTGGAGGTAGTGCTTAAAAGTTGGGTTGGGCATGTGTTTGAAATATGTGCGGAAGTGGTGGCTCTCTTAAGAAATGAAAAGAAAATGAAAGAAAAACACAAAAAAATTGAAAGCAAAGAGAGCCACTACCAAAAATCTGAATAATGCCCAGTAAGTAATGTTTCTTAGCAGTCTGGCTTGGAAATGCTGACATTTATACCTCCTTCGCTCTTGTGCTCTTGAGATATTGAGTAATGCAGAATAGTAGAAAGGAAATACCGGTTTGTTTGACTGTGATTGTGTGGGTTTGGAAATGTGGAACCTTGTGCTATGAATACTTCCACCACCTAAAAGGCCTTTTCCCCATGTCCAAGACCCTAGCCAGTCATTTGAACCTGTGTCTAAGACCTCCTGATTAGTTAGTGGTGACACCCCATATGTGAAATATAGCGTTTAGAGGCTGCCATCATGGTGAAGAGATGTTAGGGATTGAGAGAAATAACATGCGCATTTTTCGCATCAAATTGTCCTGACCCCACTGGTCGAGAGTGAGTGATTCATTTTCATATTCTATATACTCTTGTACCTCGGTGAGGACCTAGATTGCTCGGTCTCTATTCTGATGTCTTGAGTTGGATGCATGAGTTGACTGTTTTGAGTAAGTGGTTGAGTCAAGTCTAGGTTGGTTGGTGAACAGAAGGGAGACTCTTCCTTTACTCGATTTTGCTGCACTCGAATGTCATTTGTGGTGGTTGTCCAGGTTGCTATTGAAGTTGGTCAGGTATTGATGTTTGAAAACCAGTACGATTCACGTGTTCTGTGCCTTTATGACTTGTCCCCAATGTTGGTTGATTGAAATATGTGAGCTTACCTTGTGTCTGACTTGGTTTGCTTGGGGACAAGCAAACGGTTAAGTGTGGGGGAGTTTGATAGACCGTTAATTACACATGTTTTTACCCCTGTTCTTACACCGTTTGAGATGTGATTTCTCGTGTTTTAGGCCGATTTCACGCTAGGTTGTGCTTGTTTGTGATATTTCAGGTCCTAGTACGTGAATGGAGGCTTGGGAGCGAGTTTGGGGTCGATTGGACGAAGATCGGGCGCGAGGCAAGTCACAAAGGAGGCCACACGGGCACACCCACAACTCACACGGGCGTGCAAGTGACCACTTTGGCCGTGTGAGATTGTGCGAGAGCAAACACGGCTTGCCCTGATATCCACACGGCCGTGTGAAGGAGTGGTCTGGCCGTGTGAGATTGTGCGAGAGCAAACACGGGCAGGATGGAAATCACACACGGCCGTGCGACCCTGGCCGTGTGGGAAGCCTGAAGATCGAACTAATTGGAACGCAGCGTTTTGACTCACACGGGCAACTGGGTATGCCACACGGCCGTGTGGCCCAGCCCGTGTGAGTCGGGAATTCCTGGTTTTAACCCAATCTCGGGCTGCAAGAGAGAGAATGGGACTTTTTGAGCAAAAACAGAGCCCTAGAGAGAGAAAGGACAAAGAACACATCCTAGAAGCTATCTTGGAGCTGGGTTTCATCAAACCATGCTTGGAGATCGTCATAGGAGTGGAAATCATCATCCCAGAGCAGATTCTTCCTATAAATATGAGTATGACTGCTTTGTATCTTGTTTTCCTCTCTCTCTCTATGGAGTAGAACCCCTCTCTCACTTGGGGATGAAGAACCCTAGTTCTATGTGTTAGGGAATGATTGTAATGACTTGGGATGATATTACTGTTTGATTTTAATCGAATGATGCATGTTTATTGAGTCAATTGAAGTCTGGTCAACTTTTCCTGATTCCTGCTGCTATTTGAGATAGATAGAATCTGATTAGGTTGCTAGAGTCTCATCATTCGGTAGTAGGAGAGTGGCTATACGAGAGTTAGCCAATGTACTGCTTTGTACTGTAATCAAATTTCAGTAGTGGAGTTCTGTTCTTACTGCTTCAGCTTTCTATCCCGGTGAAGACTAGTCGTCTGCCGGGTAGATAGACTGAGAGGGCTTGGTCAGCTTAAGAGATTCCAAGCTACTGTCGGATCTTCCGCAGTCTAATCAATAGTAAATCAACCCAGGGTAATTGCAATTGAACCTAACTAAGGAGCTAGGGGGACTCATTCCCGAGTGACTCTTACCTGCTTGAGAAAACCGTATCAATTCCTGCTTTCTTTCTGCTTCTGGTTTTAAACAACAATCACTTACTTTAGTTGGCTAGATAATAGAGAATCACGGAGTAAGCAGTAGATCTAGACCCCGGGTATATAATATAACTTGCCTGTTACTGCATTCCCGGTCTGCGATTACACTTGGTCGCAGATTGGTGTTGTGTTTTGCCGTGTCAGCGTGACAATGATAGCCACTTTTGTAAAAATACACAAAATATTCTGAATTTGGATGGTTGCACCACAAATCTAGCCATTTCCATTATAAACTTTAACAATGTTAAAAATTTCGTCAGTTAGATTACCGTCATGCCAACTAGGATGACACCTCAACACACATCAACGTCAACAACAACTGTGAGTCTATGAAACGTATACAAAAAAATTCAAGAACCGCCCCTCTTCCGGTCACCACCGTCCAGTCTTGCTGACCTTGCCGTGGACCTAAGTTTGCCGTCAGCAAGGCCAACAACGAGTTTCAGTTCTTCAATTCCCGAGTGATTCCTTTCGTCGATTGGACCTTGTGATGGTTGGATCTAGAAAATTCCAGAGTTATCTTCTCTCGAGTGGCTAAAGCTTCCCGAGTACCAGAGTTACTCGCTATATTCACTGTCTTACAGTCCTTCCGCCATACTCGTTTTGTTTTTAACTAATAAGCGATTCAGAGTTACTCGCTATGTTAATTAGTACAATTGGATTTTTTTTAGGGATAGTACAATTGGAATTGAGTACACTCAATGAATGCTAGCTACTAACCGAAGGACTGTTGCCCTATTTAATTTGAGTAATGCCTTACACTGCATCAGTTAGCTAAAATTGTACACACAAATCCCTAACTATAAAAAGAAAAACCAAACCATACTTGCATAGAGAGTGTTGGGACCGAGCTTGCCTTTGACCAAATCTAAGCGGACATTGTTTCCTCACACTAAAAGAACAAAGCTTAGATGCTACCTACTACCTGTTAATATGATTTGAATTGGATAATTTGTCATGCACTAGAACTGATCATCTCCTCAAGTATACTTCTCAATCTCTCTATAATCTGTAATCTCTTCAATTATAGAAAAATTGGCTCTCTCTTGCAAATGAACTACCTGACACATTGTGTTAGTGAAACACATAAACTTTTGTTTACTTTCTTATATTTTAGATTAGGGTTAATACCACTGGAAATACCATTCTTTAGCAAAAGTGTCATTTATATTACGTACTTTCAATAAACACAAAAATATTCCAACGTATTAGGGGTTTGCGTCATTTGTGTTACGCGAATTTCTGTTGACCGTTAGAATTGATGGTTGACCTGACGGTGGCCAACCTTATGTCCACGTAGGCGACATGTGGATGCCACATTGGAAAAAATATTAAATAATTAAAAAAATATTATCTATTAATTAATATTATTCTTAAAAAAAAAAGTTTCAACCCCACCCTGCCACCCACCCTATCTTTTCACAGCAATCGGGCCTATATTCCCCCGACCCGACGATTGGAGCTTAGGCCGGCGCCTGTGGCGGTAGAGCTTTGAAAGGCGGCTGGTCCCCAACCAGGAGCATGATCCAGGACTGGTGCGTTCAGAACCTGAGGTTCGGGATCGAGAGGATCCCGACGCCGCGAGTTTCCGTCTCCGCCGACGAAATTGACGTTATGCTCTCTCGCCTGGAGAGGTCGAGCAAGCTGCTCGACGAGTACGACTGCCAGGAGCGGTCGAGGAAGATTGGAAGCTGAGGGAGTGAGAGTGAGCGGAACTGGATTTCCATCGCGTCCAACGGTGCCGCCGTCGTGCTCGCCGCCGCGTTTGACGGATTCGCGAGGGAATCCATGGAGAAGCGCGGCGTGGTTCTCGAAGAGCTGCTGAGCTCGATGAGCTGGATGTTTGCGATGACCAGCCGCGATGGCGGCGGAGGACGATCAGCAGCAGCAGCTCACGACCGCCTCGCTTCGCCAGGATCGGTCAAAGCTCTGGTTCTTTAAATCGAACGACAGTAGAATTGCCGCCAAGCAGAACTCGCTCGTCGCGCTCAAGGAATTGTTGGTTTCTTCATCTACCTCGAATCGAGCGAGATTTGCTGAATCTATGCTGGAAATCGAAGTTTTACACCAAATCCTCTTTGGATTCGTGAGATCCCCAACGTCCCCGTCGTAACCAAGCTCTCCCTAACATTAATCTTCCAGCTCCTCCAGATCTTAAGCTTGAAATCCAACGACCGCTCTGCTCCTCCGATCTCACTCCCGACGACGATCTGAAGCCTTCGCCTCCAGTCGCACGCCGATTGATTCTGCTTCGCTCATCAATTTTGGGGAAAAAATTTCTAGGGTTCCTCTGTTTCGCAGTCGAGAGAGACGAAGAGGAAAGGGTGAGAATGAAAAGAGCTTGGTGAGCCCCGTTTTTACATTTTCCTTGTTTTTTTTGTTTCAGTAAATAAATAAAACACCATTAATCGTACACGTCAGCGAGCCACGTGGATCCTATTAGGCGCTGACTGGGTTTTAAAAAATCTCACGGTTAAGTTTAACGGCCCAACTAACGGAAAAGACATTTTAGTATACAAATGACATATCGAAAATTACATAATATAAATGACACTTTCGCTAAACGATGGTATTTCCAGTGGTATTAGCCCTTTAGATTATAATGATCTGTCCTTTAACACTAGCAGCTCATCTTTTAGTGACCTTTGTGATTGATCAAACAAAAAGAACAAAGAGCACTCCCAGTCCAATCTAAGTAAGAAAAACAATGCCAGCGCAGGGGTGTAAATAGGGCTGGTATTCGGTCGGTATGCGGTTTAACCAGTTCACGGTATACCGAATCACGGTAAGTGGTTGCCGACAATCATATCGGATTCTTGCCCGTTAATCGGCTAACCGACTAGCCGGTTACCAGTTATCAAACCGATAATCCGATTACCGTGCACAATAGTCCCCTCCCTCCAATTTTGCGTATTTTTTTTTATGATCTTTCTCTTTCAGCTCCTAAATCTATGGACGCAATTGGAATATGTCAATACGGAAACATATTCATTCACATCCAATTTTATCAAAACGAATAACGGCTTGAACGCTTGGTATAGTGGTAATACTTTAAATTTTGAATATAAAGGTTCTAGATTTGAATTTGTTAAGTAGTACTTATAAATCTATAGCACTCTTATAAAAAAAAGTTTTTAAAAAAATACTCAAATCTATATATAATTCACTCATACCTACTGTGTACCACAAATTTGGTAATGATTGCATTGCATGGTCAGTACTCAGTAGGCATTAAAGAATGTTGTGGAACAATGCAATCAAAATCGCGATTTAAAACTTAAAAAACTTACGATCTTACGCTTTTAGGTCAGCAAAACGCTTTGGTTTCTATATAAAAACTTTAGTGTATAAAATCGGACAAAATTGGCGCTTTAAACCTTCAAAGCTTACACTTTTACGCTTCTAGTTCACCAAAACGCTTTACGTTTTTACACTTTTAGTCCACTAAATAGGTATTCTTTTCATGAAATTTAAAGAAAGATGACCAATACAATGATATTTTTAAGATTAAAGGTACATACCAGGTACTTGGATGCATTCTCAGCTTCAGTACAGTAATCTAATTCACTAGCATAGAGGGGACGGTGACTTATTGTTAAGATTTATGTTTATGAACTTATTATTAAGAGGCTATAAGTTCTTCTACTTTATGCATGAATTGCAGAGATTTATTAACTTCACTAAATTATGTGCACTCATATTTTATATAGTATACGTCGTACTTAACAGATTTTTAGTTATTTTACAGTATGCGTAAAAAACTTGCGTTTTTACGCTTTAATTCTACGTTTTACGATTTTACTCCTTTTTCGCTTCTAGCTAGATTCGCGCTTTTGACTGTATTGCTGTGGAATTTGTTTGCGGCACATATTTGAACCCTGACACGTAATTAGATTAACAGATCACAACAACTATATATGCAGTCACATGCATGTATGATTCGCGTGTTTTTTTTTTAACTTCTATGCAACATGATAACTAATGGGAGGAGCCGAGGAGGGTGTCATGTCATGTATGGGTATGGCTTAATAGATTAATTCTTAGGCGTTTTATGGTTTTGGTAATTGTTTGGTTGGATAGTTATAATGTATGTATTGTCTATAATGTATTGTTTTTTTTTTTAAATTTTTTGCACAAATAATACATGCATTGTTTGCTTGATGTGATGAAAACAATCCCTCAAAAATCAAAATGAGTGATAGTAATATCTCTACTAAAACTTGAGATTGTTTTGATGCGATTTGTTAGGTTCCTTTTTTGTTCCAATTATACCCTTAATTATATATATATGTTTTAATAAAAGTAAGGGCAAAATTGATATTTCATACAAATAGTAAAAGAACTATCACCAAAACAAAACAATGCAAAGTACATTACATCCTTTTCTTATTGCATGTATATTACAATACGTGCATCGATCACAATACATTAATTTAAGTATAGTCAAAACCAAACCACCCGCTAATTTTCAAAGAGATTTTAGTTTTACTATGGTGTATCTTGATGTTTTCGTATACATGTATAACATCTACAATAATGGATGTCTTTTCGCTTTTTCATTGTGATATGACATTTTTCATATCATTGTTGTGATTTGTTATTCATCTTTCGAAAACAATATAAAAGATCCAAAGTGGATCTACTCCAAGGATTTCACTCTTCCCTGTATTATTATTTTTATTTCGTTTTCTTTTGTATTATGACTTGGACAAGTGATTGAGTTGTATTATAAAAACTGATACTTAGTATAATTATAAACACTGACGAGGTGGAAGTACAGACCACATATGAAATAAATAATTTATTTTATAGTTGCTGATGGTCTTAGTGAGTTTTACTATATAGATTATAAATTAATTAGCATTTGCAGTTTGGGGCATGATACTATACTATTTCTCCGATGTATGGACAATATAGTTCATAATTCTCTAAACTCAAACAAAAGATCAATTTAATAAAAAATAAATAATAATTCACACTTGTCAAACTACATCTAATAGTGCGTGCTAGCCTTTGGTGTAGGGGTGGCTATACGGTCCGGTCCGGTTAAATTGGCCCAAATTGATCTGGTCCAGTCCGGTCTTTTTGAAAATATAAGGACCGAAGATTGGATTGGATACAGTCCGGTCTTGATCCGGTCCGGTTTTGATCCGGTCCGGTCCCAATTCGGTCTTGATTTTACACTGAGATTGTGGGATTTGAGTGGTCTAAGGCCTTAAAGGGTGAGGAGTTGGTTAAGTTTTGTACTAAGTGCAAAGGTTTGTGACCGTTTATGCAAATTACCCTTAAGTTTTGGGTGTTGAGCTCTCTTATCCAGTCTTTATCCGGTTTTTTACCTCAAATCTTAGCCCAAAGATTGGATTGGATTGTTTACTATCCGGTCCCGGTCCGGTCTCGATCCGGGTTATGCGGTCCGGTTTCCGGTTTTTAATCCGGTCCCGGTCCAAATAGCCACCCCTACTTTGGTGTGTATATATATATACATGGTGCCTTCTACGGAATCCCGGATGAAATCTGGGGTACGACATACCTTGAGTATGAAAACGCTATCTAGACCTCGAATTAGCAGAATTTTTGGGCATAATACTATTCCCTAACCCTTAATAAGTGAACTCTAAGTCTAATTATCTAAATCATAAACTATAAACCTTAAGATGTTGCATTCATTTTTTTTTCTATATTTGGACGAATCATAACCGTCGATTATTGTTTCTAATTAAAATGATCTTGGGGTTAAAGATTTAGAGAATTAAGACCTAGATTTTGATCTTTAAGAGTTTGAGTATAATATCACATCCGAAAGATCAGTCAATTCAAGGTTTGAATAGCATTTTCATATATATATATGAAAGTGGTAATTCATCGCAGTTGAAGTTTAGAGTCAATGATCAATATTGGTGGAAGAAACATTATATTTCTTCGTAGATTGTTGGCTTTAATATTCTGACCCTGGATATAGCCAATGTTCTCATCATCACATTACCATCAAATCAATTTTTAGGTTTCGAAAAATCATATTTAGACTATATGAATAATAATTGGCATAAAGTTTGTGAAGGATTCAACAACATAATAGTATTTGGAGGAACATTGAGCATACATAAATCTTTTGAAGAATATAAAAATATCTAGCTTTGTCCTTCAAGAACAATATAGTATGGATGGATCATAATGAACAATATTAGCTAATTATGGTTGGTATTGTGAAAACGATACTATACTATTATCTGTTTTTCACAGCGCTTTCGTCTTTCGTATGATCATAATGAACTTCTTTTGCCCTCAATTTTCCCATGCCGATTGACTGCTTATTTATAATTGAATCGTACCGGTGTAGATGAGGAAATGAAAGGTACTACTCGGTGGCCGGTGGTGGGTGTGACAGTGAGCGGATGATGAGTGCTATGCTATCCCATCAATAAATATTGACAAGTGGACGAAAACGAACAGGAAAGTGTTCACTTGAGTTTATCCAATCACATGCAATAGGTAATTGGGTATCCACTATTGACCATATGAATAATCTCGCATCTAGTTGATGACACGAAATGATAAATGACTGACCACAAAGTGAACGATTTTTTTTTTCATGAGTAGAGATTAAACTGTGTCTATTGTCAAATTGTAATATGAAATCGTCTCTAAATATCTCGGAAGTAGTGATGCAATTTCTATCCGTGCCCTGGTATTATTCGAACTGATCCGCGATTGGGTGGGTATTACCCGACCCGCACTAGTTTGGGGCGGAGCATGAGTATCTACTTCAGACCCGCCCCGCCCCGTTCTAGATCCATTTTATCTCAATTTCTTATAATATCTATACATATTTCTCTTATTTTAAATTTCTTCAACTAGTTAGAGTTGATCTTTCAACTTGTTATACTCAATTATCCATTCTATTATCACTATTTTTCATTCATAAAGTGTTTTTCCCTTCGTTTTATCTTAAAAAGTACAATTTGCGTGTATTTTTTTTAAATAATATGTAAAAGTGGGTCGCCCCGCCCTGCCTTGTACCCGCCCGGGTTTTACCCGCCCCGCCTCATAGTAGCGTAGAACGAGGCATGAGAATAATTGAGGTATCAGCCGTTCCCGCCCCATTGCCATTACTAT